GACCGCTTGCGAAAAGCTTGGATAATTCTTTCCCTGTTTCCAATAGCTTGTTTATGAGCACTCTGCCAAATGTTTTTGGAAACAACGAAACCTAATTTGATATATCCTAATAAAGTTAAAGTCAGATTTTAATTTTATTTGCCATCGGACGAAAAACAGTTAATTAATTAAGATTTATGCTAATTACAAGTCATGGTGGACTATTAATTGGAACAATAGAACAACCAAACTGTTTCACGCTTTCCGAAGTCACATAGCTTCTTGTAGCGACAATGCTTTGCTATATTTTGGAACACGTAAAATGTTTTTATTATTTTGGAAGTCATAACATGTTTCTATTTCGAGAAAATATTTCAGCGATGTAAAATATCAACTATCATGTTCGTTCATTGGCAAATATTTGTTTTCATTCAATTGCTAATTGGCTTTGTGAAGTCTGTGGGGATCTCGACAAATGTATCTCTTAACAGTAGTATAATTCCAGTTTCTCCTCCGAAAGTAATTTATATTGGTTATGTACACAAAAACGATACGGGTAAGTTATTACTATATATTATATATGTAACATATAATTCCCTTTTTTTCTGATATTCTAAACGAGTAATGTAAATGTTACTGGTGTTTTCATTCTTCATATTATACCCCGGGCAGGCAATGCAAGCGGATATATATTGACAAATCTTTAATATTAAGCGGCTGATTTCCTTATGGTCGTATAACGCCTTAACGGTCGTAAAGATTGAGTCACGATCGTTCTCAACAGCCAAAATACAACATTTTAGAACTAAAAATACGCGGAGTGATTATAACTAGAGAATACTTATGATTTATATGTGGTTTACAGGTATAAACTCGGTTGTAAACTGGCCGTTGAGAAAGATCGTGACTCTATTTTTCGACCATTACGACAATACGGAAACCAGGCTTCAGAAAGCTGTGGATTGCGATCCAGAGATACAACTGTATATATAGCAGAACGTCGACGCTAAGGCCCTTCGTTGGGAAGTAAGTAACGCGTGGGTTGAGGAAATTAGGGGGGGGGGGGGGGGTGAATAGGTTTTCGAATCGTCGGATTTCACAAAAAAAAAATGTTCTGATTTCGGATCTGGCGAATATTTGCGGATCTTAATAATACAACGAATTGCGGGTTTATCTAATATTTTGGCTCGGATTGTGGATTTCGCTTGCAATTTAATTCGGATCCTGGATTGTGACTTCATAGTAGAGCTTTTAGCGGATTCAAATTTAGACAAGACCATTGTCGAATTGCGGATTTTGCTTCAAATTTGGGCGGATCGGCGGATTTGAATACCCCTATTCAACCCCCCCCCCCTCCCCCATTACACGAGCTACTTTATGCTACTATATAACTTCTCAACGAAAAGCCTTCCCGTCGACGTTCTGCTTGTATTTTTCAGGTAGTTGTTGTCTCTTTCTACAGTGGCACAGGAGATAGGATAGGATAGGATAGGATAAAACTTTATTTGACTACGCTGGCCACTTCAACCATAGCTGCTTTCCAAGTGGGGCGTAGATAAATGTTACAAAAATATATAAAATACAAAATCACTAAGAAAATTAAGAACTACGAATACAAATACATATTACAAAACAAATGGTATACAAACCTCAAATAGCTAATTCGTCAGACTAACAGAGGAAATATTTCTATTGAAAGAATTTAAAGATTCGCTGTTTCTTACTTGTTCAGGAATGCTATTCCAGATTTTAACCCCACTATATCGAAAACATTTTCTGCCATACTCAGTATTTGGTCGTGGCAGAAAGAGAGACGAATTTGAACCCCGTAAATTATAACTGTGGATATGGTTAGAATTCTGGAACATTGATGAGAACCTCGATGGTGCCAAATTATTGACAACCTTAAACATGAGACGGGCCATATTATGTTTTCGCCTTTCTTCCACGCTTATCCACCCTAATTGATCGAGGGCCAGTTGAGATTGCCCAGGCTCATCTTTAAAGTTCATTATAATTCTAGCACATCTGTTGTGAAGTTTTTGTAGTCGTTCAGACTGGCCTCTATTAATGGAATTCCAAACTTCACAACAGTAGTCGAAATGGGGTTGGACAAGACCATAATAGACCGACTTCAAAGTATCAGAATTAGTGAAATCCTTTATCTAGTGAAATCCTTTAAAACACGAGCAGGATGCTTTTATCAGATATAAAAGACGAGAGCGCGGCTCGAGTGTTTTATATCTGATAAAGCATGCACGGAAAATGAAAGCTAAAGTTAAAAGTTTATTTGATTTTTATCACATATAAAACCACCGACACGGCAGTGATTTCTTAAAATACTGTTTAATAAACGAGCAGGAGTGTTTTATTATGTTTAAAGCCACGAGCGCGCAGCGCGAGTGGCTTTATACCTAATAATACGACCTGCGAGTTTAGTTAAACGGCTTCAAACACGACTACAAATTCAATAGATATACTGCCTTATTAGTATTCTTTATATAAAGAATACTAATGAGGACACGACTACAATAGATACTGCCTTATCAGTATTCTTTATATAAAGAATACTAATGAGGACACGACTATATACAATAGATACTGCCTGATTAGTATTCTTTATATAAAGAATACTAATTAGGAGTGTTTTATCAGGGTTAAAGCCACTGCACGTGACATATTATGGTTGACATGATTTGCCAATAAGCTTATGAATTATGAATTATGAATTATTAATGAGTGTTTGAATATTATTATTATTTATTATATATTCAATTTGTATTCCTTGGGCTAGGAAAGGTGACAAATGAAATCTCAAGAACCAAGTTGAGTTCTGGTTCATTTGTCAGTGATAATGGAACAGTTCCTGCTTTACAAGATAACCTTAGCAAAAACCATGTGAAGAAATTTAGTGAACCAACGGGTGAGTAGTCAGTGTACTCGCGTAAAAAGGGAAGCCAAAGATGTTGGGAATTTAATAGCCATTCCGAAGTTGATGAGTGGACTGGGGACGAGTGTTAAAAAGTGCCCAAATTAAGAAATGAACTAAATCACTAAAAAGACCACCTCAAAATTATTAAGTATACAAAGTTTGAAGACGTTTACATGAATACCCTTCGAATAATAAGCTTTCGAAAATTATGAAATTACTGATTAAAAGATTGTTTTTGGGACGCGCGTCTCAAAAACAAAAATTGCAATACATTTCATAGTAAATATCACGATTTTCGTGCTTTGGTTCATTTTTTAATTTGGGTACTTTTTAACACTCGTCCCCAGTCCACTCATCAACTTCGGAATGGCTAATAGGCAATTCCAGCTTTTAGTTTATGCGTGCAGGGGACGATGAGAAGTAAGGTATCATATTACTGATTATGCTGAAAAACTAAAAATAGTGGCCGTGTAAACACTTTGTGATAGCTTATACTTGTTAATATTGAAATATTTCGGTTGTTTCGGTAGTTTTTATGGAAATTTTTCAGCATAATCAGCAATATGATACCTTACTTCCCATCATTCCCTGCAGGCATAAACTAAAAGCTGGAATTGCCTATTGGCCATCTATCTATTTACCCACTATGATAACCACGCCATCCATTCAGTCACTTATTATCATGAGGCATAATTACAGTGTGACATTTTAGCTGCATTCAAAAATATATCCAAGATGGCGGACATCTTATTACTTCAAGTGAAAATATTTCAAGAACTAAGCAAGATATGAAAAATCGGTAAAAGAAGTTAATATATAGTTTCAAAAGTTCTTTCAAATGAGGGAATAAAAATTTATATTGCCATTTCCCTTTAAACTACGACGGGTGTCTTAATTTTAGACAAACTATGTATACAACAGATCGAACTACTTATTAACGGTAGTTTTGGTGACGTCACAACAGGGATTAACCATATAAAAGTGTTCGTTGCTGACCAGATATTGATTGGTAGATGTTTTGAAGGTTTTGAGTGATATTTCGAAGGGCAGGCAGAGTATAGTTTTGAGTGTAAAATGATTAGTGGTTGTCTGGATAAAAATATTGTGTTACTCCTGTTGTGACGTGACACGCATATCTACAAAAATTAACGATAGCGGACATTTTATTTCTTTCAATCAAAATATTTGTAGAAGTAAGCAAGATATGAAAAAAACGGTATTATATATTATAGTATTATCTACCACTTCCTACCTCTGCACAACAATACACTTGCTGTGTTTATCATACTTATGTTGTTTTTCAGTGAATGGCAACTGGGGGAACTGGGGAGAGTACGGACCGCCAAGCAAGACGTGTGATGAAGGTTTTCGCACAAGATTCAGAAAATGTAACAATCCTCAACCCAGAGGCTTTGGAAAGCCATGTCAAGGAAGTGACAGGGAAAGCTTTTTGTTTGAGTTTGGGAGATGTGTATTAAGTAAGTATCAGTTATTTGTGATGTTAAGCTCTGGCTAAACGTAAATGAGAGTTGACGAGAGTTTGCAGTCACCAATTATTACGGAGAACATTTCAAGGTCTAGATTAACAAAATAAACAGGGTTCGTAGCGGTCTTTGAAATCCTTGAAAGTCTTTAAATTGGAATGCAGGCCTTTGAGGTCTTTGAAAAGTCTTTAAATTGTGTGAAAAAGCGAAGAAGGTCTTTAAAAGTCTTTAAATTCTTTAGAGAGGAATTGATTATACGATTTCCTAGCTAATAAAATAGATTGATTGAATCAACATTTTCGCAAATATCGACGAAAATGCGCATTTTAGGATGTGATTTGAAGGGTCTAATTACTGGGTAAAAATGGTGCTTACACTCGCAATTTTTCGACAGCTGATTGCTCTCAAAGGTCTTTGAAACGTCTTTGAAAATAGGCAGAAAATATCTTTGAAAGTCTTTGATTTTTTTTTGTCTTGGAGACTACGAACCCTGATAAAGGTTTGATGAATGTTTCAAATATTAATTATATAATTCAATTAACTTTCAAACAGGATTTTTCAAGAGGTTTACTTTATTTTTAACAACGTTTCGGACAGTTTTACTGTCCGTCTTCAGGTTATTACAACTTTGTAAATGTCAAAGAATGGAAACATTTACAAAGTTGTAATAACCTGAAGACGGACAGTAAACTGTCCGAAACGTTGTTAAAATTAAAGTAAACCTCTTGAAAAATCCTGTTTGAAAGTGAATTGAATTATATAATTAATGATGACCAGAGGTGAAAGTTTTAGAAGAATAATTGTTTCAACTATATTATAACTTTAATGGAATACATGATAGTGTTGGGAAATTAGTAAGAACAGCTAACCAAGGTCGCGCAGGGCTTTCAAAATAAGCCTTCGGCCGCCGGGGGTGCCACGAGGTTCACCGCCGGTTACCGTTCGTTTAGTACTTAAAATATCAATTTTGCTCTTCTTCCTCCATTCTAAGCTTTCAAACAAAGTTATTTTTCCTCAACCTGCTCTACTTTATAGCCTGGTTATTTTCGAAAACGACATACTATTTCGTAAAACTGATTTAGTTATTTGCCATGTCTTAAATCTTGAAGTTATCTTGAAGAATGAAAGTAGAGATACATTATAATTTGGCTACGGAGCTCAGTTTTGTTGGCCTTGTTGCTATCGAATCAATATACACTAGTTAATTTGGATGACTTCAAGACTCCCTAGATCGCTACCCACAGCAGCCTACTTTATTAACACACCCACCTACTTAGAATAATTCTGAAAGCCCTGATCACGTGACTGCCAACTCCCATGCATTCTTATCCTTGTTTTTGATCCGGTCTTTACGATATATATTATTCTTTGCTAGAGAAACTGGACACAGAGTTTAATAGATTTTCCATGGGTATGTGGAAACACGAAGAGGGCACGCCAGGGTTTTTATGGAAAATCGTGCATCAGCCGTCCAGGGACGTCACTGGAGATGGTAAGGGTTGTTTACGTTGTTTAAGATTGAACTGATGTATACACTTTAAAAACACTCTGGTCAAAAAATTCCGGGTTAATTTAAAGTTAACACCGTTTGGGGTAGCTTTCTGTTTATGGCTAAATCCCCTGGTTAATTTACAGTTAAAGAAGCTAGATTTTCCAAGTTAGCCTAAACAGGTTCTTATGTAAATGGTGCTTACCAGGAAATTAGAAGAGAAAAGCAAATAATCTAAATAGAAGAGAGAAGCAAATAATCTAAAAAAATGATAGTATATGCACTATATCAACTCAATATGCACTTTAAAGCTACCGCTGATTGTAACTTATGACTTAATTTTGACTCTATTTGATAATATAAGAATCTGTTTTGAAATTCTAGCCTGAACAGGTTCTTACGTAATGGGGGTCTAAGTAAAATATTTTAGCGTAACAGGTTCTTAAATACTTTTTGTGTGTGTTGATATTATGTACTCAGGTGAATATAATGTTTGTGGCGTTACTCTGAGTGTGCATCCACATCAGCTTGCCTGGTATGGATGCACACTCAGAGAACATCACAAAAATCAGGTTCTTAAATTCTAAGTTCTTATATGCGGGGTTTTACTGTACCCACACTCCTAGCTAACTTAACCAGGAATTCTTGGTTAATAATCCACCTAACATATGCTGGTTAATTCAACCATATAACCTGTTATATTAACCATGGATCCTGGGTATTAAAGTAGCCACGATAGTGATCAATAGGACTGTGGTTAATGGACCAATCCCCAATTAACCAAACTTTTGATCCCATCCAGTCTAGACAAAATTCCATCACAGCATGAAAGAGCATCACAAAATTAGTAATATTCCAAAGTTTCGTTACGAAATGTTGTAAAATGCGGATAATATAGCCTTGCGAAATTTGCAATTTTCAGTCGTTTTGTATTACGAGCGGGAAACGGTTACCACTTTTCCAAAATTTTGATCTCAACTAGCCTAAACAAAAGTTTTATCACAGCTTGAAAGAGCATCACAAAATTAGTAATATTCCAAAGTTTCGTTACGAAATGTTGTAAAATGCGGATAATATAGGCTTGCGTAGTTTGTAATTTTCAGACGTTTTGTATTACGCACGGAAGTGGTAACCACTTCCCGTTTGTAATACAAAATGACTGAAAATTGCAAACTTCGCAAGGCTATTTTTATCCGCATTTTACAACATTTCGCAACGAAACTTTGGAATATTACTAATTTTGTGATGCTCTTTCGAGCTGTGATGAAAATTTTGTCTAGACTTGTTGAGTTCAAAATTTTGATTAACATGGGATTGGTTCATTGACCTGGCAATTTAACCTGGGGCATTAAATTAAGTTACCACAGTGTTAATTTTAGATGAACCAGAAAATGTTTACCCAGGGTGCTCAGTCAATTCACAATGAGCTTATGTCACTTGCCAGGTTATTTTCTGTTCGCGGATTCGAACTTGAGAAAGCGGGAAGATCAGGCAAAAATTATCAGTGATGCGCTCACTCCAGCTCCGAAAGGTAAGCTAGTAAGTGCTTGGGGGAAGTCTCTTTGAGTTTCATTCTTTGAATTTTGGTTGGGAAATTCCATGACCGCGGTGTGAATCGAACCAGCCACCTTTGGCTTTCTTGTCCAATGCTATACCAACTAAAGTGGAGTAATACGGGCAACAGAATTGCTGCAACTTGAAACAAAATCTGATTTCTACGCATGTTAATTGAAAATGTTTACACATAAATTACAAATCACAAGGCAGCATGTGTCAACATTTTTACTTAACATGCGTTGAAATCAGATTTCGTTGCAAGTTGCAGCAGTTTTGTTGCTCGTAGTGCTTAAGCTGCGAGGTCAAGTCAAAGAAATGAATTCTTGAAAACTGACTTTAGAACTGCACAATTCTTTAAGATTGTTCAATTTTATTCGTAGTTAACCGAGCATGTTTGAAATTCCATTACCGCATGCATGGATCCGGGATGGGTTTGTTAACGGTGAAAATCAAACGAAATTCGCGGAAACCAAAAGAAGTCTGGAGCGCTTACGGAGATCACGGTAACAAATGGGTGAAGTCAAGAGTGACGTTGAAAAGTTCAGTGAAATTTCAGGTCAGTCTAAATTCATCATCATCGTTATCATCATTATCATCGTCATCATCATTTTATCATTATCATCATCATTATCGTAATCATCGTTGTCATCGTTATCGCCATCATCAACATCGTCATTAAATGATTATCGGCTTCATCACCACCAGCATCACCATCATATCATCATGATCATCACCGTCATCACCATCTCCAACGTCATCATCATCACAATCATCATCGTCATAATAGTCATTATCATCACCATCATCGCCATCACCGTCGCCTCAACGTCATCATCATCACCATCATCGTCATTATCATCACAATCATCACCATCGTCGTTATCGTCAACGTCATGTCATCATCAATGTCATGTCATCATCAACGTCATCATCATCACAACATCATCACAACATCATCATCATCACAACATCATCACAATCATCATTAACGTCAACGTCATCATCACAATCATCTGTCATCATTATCATCATCGCTACTACCATAATTACTACTTCTTTTCCTTATCTAGGTTTTATTTGTAGCTGCAATTGGGACACCCCAGCTGTCTCATTTTGCACTGGACAGCATTTACGTCGACAATGGACCATGCAGTAAGAAACATACTACTTTTGAAACTTTCACTATCGTAACATTCACGCATCGTAACAATAGTAACTAGACATACATTACGAGTTATTAAAAAAATTGCATTGGGTAGCAAAGGACCAGTGGCGCCGCCAGCTCGATAATTGGGGGGGGGGGGGGGG